GCCCCACCCACCCGTGCTGATCTTTAGTCATTATGGTGTCATGACCACTGGATTTTTATTATATCGATAATTAAAATGCTAAGGGAAAATGTCCTATGATAACTTGCTCTGTACTAAGAGGTTTGTTTACTCTTTCAATATTAAATGTTCAGCCCAATAATACAATAAAAGCCATTCTCACCTTCTCTAAAAGGAGCTGAGATAAATTCTGTTGCTGTCTGTCCTGAAAACACTCATAAAGTTGGAGCAGCCTAGCACATAATACTTGTTCTTGATTGAAGACAGGATGATGGCTAAATTGCAAACCCACAATGTTGAGATCTAACTGGTACATTTTCCCTTGACCTTCCATTTTGGTCCTAATAGAGCTTTCTAAATCAGATTTCACTGCCTTTAAAGAAAAATGTGTACTCAAAGTTAATTTGGTTCTATTTCTTTTTAAATTACCTTTTTAAGAGTAACATTTTAATTGTAAGAAAATTAAGACACAGAAAATAAAAAAAACCAATAATTTGATCCTTTTTTCTTAAAGTTGATTATGGCCCTTGATTTTATACAGAGTGTCCCAAAAATATGTATACACACTTTGAATAATTATTAATTCCAATGGGTTAAAATATGAAAAGAAACATCAATTGGGCTATCAGTTGTAAAGTGTGTATAAATTTTAGGGGGAAACCCTATATATTTATAGTACAGCATTTTAATAATCTTGCTATAAGTTATTGTTTATAATACTGTTATGTGCTTATAGAGGTTGAACTTTCAAGTTGTAAGCTCCCAAATAATTTCCTATAGGAACACTATGACAAATGGTGTTCAGAACTGCTGAGTCAATAGTTTGACTATGTGATGATATAATAGTCATCTGTGGGCCAGAGTTAAATGGTAAACCCTTATTAAAACACTGTTCCACCCTAGACAGTTTGGCTCAGTGGACAGAGAACCGGCCCACAGACTGAAGGGTCCTGGGTTCGATTCCAGTAACGAGCATGTACCTCAGTTGCAGGCTCAGTCCCCAGCCCTGGTTGGGGCACATGAGTGAGGCAACCAATCAATGTGTCTCTCTCAAATCGATGCTTTTCTCTCCCTCCCTCCCTTCCACTCTCTCTAAAAATCAACAGAAAAATATCAGCAGGTGAAGATTAACAACAACAAAAAAAGTTGTTGTCTGACACAACTTTCAGCACATTACCTGTTAAGGATGCTACAGAATGAATTTGAATACTCAGTTTAGATGCTTGGTGAAGTGACATATACATTTACTCGAAACTCTAAGGGTCCATTGAATACTGAAATTGTGCTTGGATGAAAAAAGTTACTTGTTCAGCCCAGTGGTTTCCAACATCAGAATCTGGATGTTTACAAAGGTTAATCTGGATGGGGGTCAACATTTCTCCAAAAATCGTATGTTTTGCATTTACCTACCATCTGTTTGCTCATTCATTCATTCATGTACTCAACTCATTCAACAAGCTTCCACTGTTTCAAGGACCTCTCTCTCCAACAGCAATGGTCTCTGATAATTATGTTAAAATATCTGTGCTATAGCTTGAGCAAAATAAAAATAATCCTATCCTGCTATCTAGAGATAATTATTTACTTTGATATACTTTTCAGTCTTTTAATCTATGTACACATATACGTACTTGTCCGTTCATTGATAAATTCATTATCTATTTTTCTAAAATTAGGATCAGATTTAATTTTTCATTCTTCTTTTTTTCACTTCACATTTTATTTTGAGCGTTTACCCATATCATTAAATATTCCTCAAAAACGTAATTTTAATGGATATTTGACATTTCATCATAGTTTTGCCATTATATTAGTAGACATTGATATATTTAAAGGGTGAATTAACACCTCATAAATGTAAGTTATAATCAGCATTACAAGAATTCTAACCATAATTACAAGTAAACTGTAATTGGTTACCTTCCTGTATATGGTCTTTAGTGCTGGATTTAAAGATTCCTTGCTTATGTTTAGTCTGAATTTCCATGACTGGCTAATGGGTGAAGGTAATGACATTATTTCAGCACTTTCTTCAAACCAACACATTCCCTATCAAAAATATTTAAGAAACATAGTACTTAAATATTTCATCAAAAATAAATATCACATACTATCAGTGAGTGGTTTAACTTGTTAGCTGGTGCACTTGCCTCTTCTAGTTGAAGCAGGCGATTTTCCATTTTGTTGCAGGTCTTTTTACATATTTTTGGCTTTCTCTGTATATAGAATCCTTCGTCTTCTAAAATGCGTGGCATCATATCTTTTGGCAGTTTACGTTGGTTGACCACTTAATAACAAAACCTACATATTACTTTAAAGTCCAACATGTTAAACTGGTATTGACCAAACAAGAAGCAAAGGGGAACTAAAGTCTACCAGCAAGCTTAAATACACACACACACACACACACACACACACATGAAGGAAATTCCCGAGTTCTTTTAATCAATCCTCTTAAACTCAGAAAAGGCATGAAGAACAAATATAGAAAATATTCTATAATTTAAGAACAGTCCTCCTTTTTTTATCCTCACCTGAAGATATGCTTATTGATTTTAGGGAAAGGGAGAGAGAGGAGGAAGGGGGGGTGGGGAGAGGAAAACAGAAACATCAATGTGAAACAGAACATCCATCTGTCATCTTTTGGATCAAACCTGCAACCTACATATGTGCCCTGACTGGAATCGAACCCGTAACCTTTTGGTATATGGGAAGATGCTCCAACCAAATGAGCTACACCAACCGGGGCTAGATCGGTACATTTTATCTATTCAGCATAGAAAAAAGCTATTATCCTTTAATATGATTCATTAATGACTTAAATATTTTATTGTAAAAGAACTTTACCTGAGGAACTACTTGGCACAAAAATATTTATCTGTTGTCTTTTGATTTGTTCTTGATCATCTTCATATTCAGCAGCTTTTACTTCAAGTAAATCTGGAAAAATTACTTCTTCCATATAATCTTTATCATGGCTTTCAGCAAAATCTTGTACATTATCACCAAGTGATAAATGTTTAGGGTAGCTATCATTTACTAATCGCTGTTGAATACCAAAAATAAAAATAAGTATACATGATTATCCTTCTGATCCATGCCACCCAGTTCAAGGTCAAGCTGAAACTGTTATAATGAAATTTCACTGAACATAGAGGAACTCATTGAAGGCTTAATCTTTTACAATATGATTTTCCTATAGCACTTCCTTGCAATTCTCAACGAAAAAATTAATGAAATAGAATTATAATTCAAGCCCCTCCTCTCCTTTGGAAAATAGTCTGAGATATTGGACTATGACACATCAATCACTGAGAATTCATAGTGTAGGGCAAAGGCCAGATACATCAGACCATGTGGTCCTAAGCCCCATTTTTTTCAATATTCAGAAAGCAGTAGTACTTAAAGTGATTGTGGAGCATCCCTGATGTTTTCTGGATGGCATTCAAGAAAAATAAAGAAAGAAAAGTAAAGATTCAACATAGAAGTCTATGGCAGAGTGATTATAGTAAAATTTGAAAACATGCTATGTATAAAAGTTACAATCTGAATATAGGTATTGGAAAATATATTACTAAATATAAAAATGCATACTTTTATATCATGATCATAAATTTTGAGTCTCTTCACACACAAAAATCAATTCATTTTGAATGACTTTGTCTAATTTGATATTGACACATATTGAAAAAGGAGACAGAGAGTGTGTGAGTCATGCAAATAAAAACTCCTTAATTAAAAATGTATATTTAGGGGTAAATAATTAAATAAAAGGAATTGATCGCACAGCATCTTTGAATAGAGGACCTTACATGCTCTGATCAGGTCTGACAAAATTAAGTAACATAGTTAAAGCATCACCTAGGTTCATATGAAGTAAACACCCCTCATACCCTGTCTCCTACCCCTGTCATGAGATCAAGAAAATATTTTATGCTCTGGCACATGTTGCTCAATGGTTAGAGCATAGGCCCATAGACCGAAGGGTCTCAGGTTTGATTCCCAGTCAAAGGCACATACCTCAGTTGCTGGTTTGCTCCCCATCCGGGGTCGGGGCTCATGCGGGAAGCAACCAGTGGGTATGTCTCTCTCACATCAATGTCTCTGTCTCTCTCTCTCTTTCTGTTCCCCTCCTTCCCTCCCTCTCTCCTTCCCTGCTTTCCGCTCTCTCTGAAAAGCAATGGAAAAAATATTCTCAAGTGAGGATTTTTAAAAATGAAGGTATTTTATATCTAGAAATTTTTATGGTATCTTTTTCAGAATTCAAACAAAGTATGGCACTGATATCTAGAAGCAAGATTTGGGAGATCCTCACATAGGGGATCTCTTTGAACATTCCAATCATAAGACAAAAAGGACTCTCTTTGTTCCAGCTGCAGCCCCCATTATCAATCTTCCTTTATAGCATCCCAGATGTGGGCCAGGGCTTTCAACTTGCCTTCGGAGGTAAGGCCCACATCGGGGATGCTGTAAAGGAAGACTGATAATGGTGTACAGTAGAAAGGCAAATGGGGTCCAAAGGGACCCCAAAGGAGTGTCTGAGAGATTTGGAAATGACTAAGAGGTGTTAGTAGATAGAAAGAATTCTGGGGAATAAGAGGTACTGGGGGAAGGGACTCAAGGAAACTGTGGAGAGACTTGAAGGTGGAGAGGAATTAGAGAAAAATACAGAGGAACATGAGTAGATAGGACGATCAATAAAAGTGACTGACAAATGAGGAGGCAATGGGGAAAGACTAGTGAGACTGGATGAAAGGACAACCAGGGAATAATAGGAGGGGCTGAGGAGTTTGAAGGGAAGTGGGAGAAGTGACAGAAATTGGAAGACTCTAGGATTGGACAGAGGGACTCTGTGGAGAGTAATAGAGATTATTGAGAACAATGGGGGGCACTTGGAGAGAAAGACAGGAACAACAGAAGAAAGAGAAAACATGGGCTTTGCAGCTAACAGCCTGTATTTCCCAGCTCTATTAATGCTTAACCCACCTTAGTTTCCTCACCTATAAAACAGAGTCGATAACAGTGCCTGCCTAACAGGGTTTCTATGAGGATTGAATGATACAATCCACATTAAAAATTTAGTATGTCATTGGGCATCCAGTAAGCACTCAATAAATTTTAGGAATTATTATGAACAGCTCAATTCAGAGAGAACAAAATCACTCAATAATAAAAATTTCATCTCCCATCCAAGTATTTCATTCTTTGCCTTTAACAAGAGTTATTTTTCCTGAGAATGAGGGTGATGGAGGAAGGGAAACAAATCCAACCTGCTCTGAAAACTGGCCCAAAGCTGTGCCTTCTTCACCGTTCAGAGTGAAAAACGAAAGGTCTGCCTCCAATGAGACTTCAGTCTGTGGGTTAAACAATGGAAAAGCAGTACTCAGTGGTGAAATGAATACTTTTTCTGCTTATACGTGAAAGAGAGGTAATAAGGTAAGTAGTAATAAGTAGTAACTATTATCTTATTCGTGAGCAAGGAGCAGAAGGAGCGACAATATCAAGTTATATTTAACTTCAAGTCTGACTTATGAATTTTTGTTTTGTTTTAAAGTTCTGGTAACTGCAATAAAAAACAGAATAGAGTGTAAATCCTCTCCATCTTCCCTATCTCTTCACTCTAGTCAGAGTATTAAGAGCATCACCTTACACTTCTATCAAAATGCGGGCTCAGGGCAAATGGTTTTATCTCTCCCCATTTTTAGGTGCTTTCACGTATATGTGTGCTTACACACAAGTACCACTCCACCCATCTACAATGTTTTGTAGAGTGAGAGGTAGTTAAAAGTATTTAAAGTGACATACTCATAGTTATAAACTTGGTGATAAAATAAGCTCTCCTTTTTCAATACTGTATATGTAAAGCCCTAATCACTTTCTTCTCACACACATATTAAAATGAACTGTTTTTAGGGAGGTTTGAGAGAGAAATTAATTCTATAATAAAAAGTAAAACTCAGTCATTAGGAGTAAAATAATTTTAAAATACATAAAATACAAAAGCTTATTTTATATCCTATTTGTGTCTAGTGCCTAAACTTGGATTACAGTATTGACTTAATACATCTAAATTTACTAAGAAACATTGAATCATATACTTAAAATGAGTGAATTTTTTGCTATATAAAGTAAATCTCAATAAAGCTGTCTTTTAGGGTTAAAAAAAAGTTATTCACCTTAGACCACTGATTTATCTTATTGTCAATGAGCAGATGAGTTGAAGATTTTTCACTTTGATTAATCTGAAACAACATAAATGATATAGAAAACTTAATCTTCACAGATAAACTTAAGTCTTTTGTTTAAAATGCATAAAAACCAAGACTTCTCAATGTTTTCCTTTTTAAAAGTATGTACACGTTTCCCCCTAAGATGTCATATATAGTTTCCATGACTAAATCACTTAACTTTTCTTGGATTTAGGTTTGAGAAAAAAAACAAAACACATGGAAAAGAACTTGAAGTATTTTTGGATTTAAGGAACTATATTTAAGACTGAAATTTGGCTCTTTTTTAAAGAAGAAAAGTTAATTTGATACATGTTGCATGTAAACATTAAATTTAAAGCCAGGAAAGAAAAAAACAAGCATTACCTTAGCATTCTTTAGCTTTTCTCTTACTTTGCTTCTGAACATTTCTATTGTGTTTTTATTTTCTTCTTCTGCATCTAAACCTATCAAGAAGCCAACATAATATAGATCTCATGACACTTTTGAAAATAACTAAACAGCAATAGCAGCAAAAGTACTTATTAAATAGCTAAGTTGCATGCATTTTTAAGGATCGTGATAATTATGAAGACTGGGACATTGCTGCATGAGAGCTTAGAACCTCAAATAGATGTCCCTTCCCCCTTTTCCATCTGGAGTAAATACTGTTATATATGCTCAGGACTGGATTTTGTTTCCCCTACCTGTGTGTTCTCAGCTATTGGCTATAGTCCTTCATTGTAGTCGGGCAGGGGTGAGGGGGGATACTCAGAAAAGCAAACCTTTATCTTTTTCCTTTTGGGAAAAAATCTGTAAGAACAGTTATATTCTATATGGAATATACAAATATACTCTCTACAGAATATACAAATATCAAAGATAGGTTACTTCAACTTGATGAAACTGGAGAGGAAGGAATCTAAAAGGAAGAGATAAGTTTCTAGGTACCAGTTAGTCAGTTTTGTAAAATTTGAGGAGCCCTACTTCTGAAAGCTTTTAGAATGAAACAGTCTTGTAGGGAATAAAGAGAACTCCAGCTGTTGTATGCACCCCAAACTGTGTGTTATTTCCTACTCATCTGCTAGATGATCCACCAGATGAACTGAGAAAGACAGGAGTTGAGCAGTCCTAGGTATAGTAGAAAGTGGAGGACCTTTTGGTCATTTTGCCTTGCATTTTTCTGTTTCTTCTCCCTGTTTCTTGACTACTTAAAGGCTGCATAGAGGATGGTGGAAATAAATGGTAAGAAAAAGCTAAATCTTCATTCTTAACTGCATTATTTCCTGGTATAATTTAAAAATGACTAGTTGGTTTGTTTATACTCTATTCCCAGAACTTAGAATGGCAGGGAGCATATAATATGTGCTCAGTAATGGTGAATGAACTAGGGTTAAACCATTATTTATGTATTTTTCTCAAGATCTAGAACTTCCTGAAGCAAGTTCTACATCTAGTATCTTCATGGTGTAACAGTCTCAGACACTTGTAGATTCTCCATGATTGCAGAGAGAGAAAATAAAATCTTAATAAAAATTTCATCATATATATAGACTTTACTAATTATTTCCTTATGCCCATCTTGTATTATCTAGGAAGTTTAGTTTCTATTTGAACTCATCTCTTAATAAACTTGTTGCCAGCTGAAACCCTATGATAGCATTAGTCATTTACATCTTTTTAAAATTAAAACCAACAGCATCAGAATTATGGTATACTTATTGAGGACCTTTTTGAAGATGCTTGTCTACGTTTTCTTCTACTGCAATATTATCTGTCTCTTCAGACATCTGCAAAAAAAGGGGGGTGAAAGTTACCTTGCATCTTTTTGTTTTGGCATTGAACACCTTTCCAAATGTTCATCATCCCTTTGAAAGTCATCTCCTTTAAAATGCCAATTCATAGCCTTTGCCTGTTTTCTTAAATTTCATCTTTTTATCAGTTGGTATGAGCTCTTTATATATGGTGGGCTTTTAATTAAGAAGTTGCTCTCTGTAACATCAAAAAGGACCTTTTCAAAAATATTTTTTATCCTCACCTGAGGATATGTATATTGATTTTAGAAAGGGAACGAGAGGAGAGAGAGAGAGAGAGAGAGAGAGAGAGAGAGAGAGAGAGAGAGAGAAACATCTATGTGAGAGAGAAACATTGATTGGAATCAAACCCGAAACTTTTTGCTGTATGGGACAATGCTCCAATCAACTGAGCCATCCAGCTAGGGTTCAAAAAGGACCTTTTAATAATAAAATCCAATGGTTAGTTCTTAGTGATCATATATTGCCTGCTCCATATACCTTTTAGGAGGTTCAAATGAGGTCAGACATATGAAAATACTTTGAAACTCAATGCCGTATCAGTGTTAGCTTTTATCTGATTACATGGCAGCATCTGATGTTGGGCACCTTTATTATCTGAAAACGTTTTTATATCCTTGACTTCTACCCTCTTATCTCTCTGGCCACTTACTCCCTGTATCTTCAAAGGTCACACTTCTCCTCACAGCTTAAATGTGGGTTCATTCCAAGGCTTTAGAGGGTGCATGTATTCCCAAGGCTTCCTAAATCTGTCTCCAACCTGGACTGTTTTGGAATACCATATTTCTAGCTGCCTATTAGTATTTGTAATTGAATGTCCTATCATTATCAATATGCTAAAATGAGAATTTATTGCATTTACCATTTTTAAACCTCAATATTCTAAAATTAAACCATACTAGCAATGTTAAATCCTTATTTAGAATGATATGGATGAGTCTGTTTTTCATGTTAAGTTTAAGAAATAGAATAGTAAAAGACTCCTTAAATAATACCTGTACATGCTAACCAAACTAATGTGCAGTTGGAGTGGAAAGAGCAAGCAGACACACATCAGCTTTCCCATCACAGTAAAGATATGGATTCGTGTCAAAAGCCAAAGCAGAGTATTGACACAATCCTAGTAAAGACATTACTATCACAATAAGAACTCTGCCTACACACTTTCTGAAAGAACTTCAAAATCCACCAGTAGCTCCTGTACCATCCTTAAGAACTAATGAATAAGGTCAACATGAACTAAGATGTTCTGTTCTTATTAAACCTTCAGTATCTTCTTCAACACAATTAAAAATACCTAATTCTATTCTTGCCTAAGGGACAGTAACTCTTGAAAGTATGATGAGATATCAACCCTGGCAAGTGATTGATAGAGGTCTCTCTTTAATTCCCAATAACCTTGTCCAGCATTCCCAGGATTTATAACTTCCAATCCCCATCTAGAAGTAGGGATAAATGTGCAACTTCATATACATGAACAACAGTTTGGTGATTGCACGGGGGGAGATGGGTGGAAGTGGAAGAGGGATAGAGGGGATAAATGGTGATGGAAAAATAAAATAAAATGAATCTTAATTGGATTAAAAGACATGTAGATCTCAGTCCTAAACGTATATGTTTCACTCACTGATTAAAAAAAGAAAAACATTTTATTTTTAGCAAAGCAGAAATGGATTGCTGACTGGCTGAGAAAAGATAAAGTTAATATTTAAGTAAGGGAATAAATAGTATATACATAAATAACTCATTTCTAATGTTCTTTATTACATAACTGACAGATCAAATAATTCATCCCTAATACCTCTTATTTATTCTTTTAACATATGTATGTATGATTTATGTATAGAACCAAATACATCACATTTTTAGGATTATACTACATTGATAATTGGGCTACTTAGTATCATCAAAATCCTTATAAGCTCCATTAATACCTTACCTTTTTAATATCTTGTTTTCTCTTTGAGATCTTTTTCATGATGATGGTTCTTTCATTTCTAAATTAATAAGAAACAGTCTTAAGAATGATAGAGCATATTACTGAAAGAAAACTATTATACTTGAGATAAAAGTATGTTATTTAAATTTTTTAATTTAACTGAAAATTAAATAAAGAAATATACTCTCACCTTTAGTAAACAGTAGCTGATCACCTTTAGCATTTAATAGAAATTCTGGTTAATGCAATAAGACATGGAAAAGGAGAGGTATAACTATGGGAAAGGAGAAGACAAGACTATCCTTATCTGTAGAAAAAAGACAAGAAAACATAGAAAACCCAAGACACTCAATGAAAACAGCTTAGACATAATTAGAAAGTTGTTACGTAGCAGAATTTATGCCAAAGTTAATAGCTTCCCTATATCCTAACAGAAAAAGGTCACTTCATAATAGCAATATAAAACATTTTTCAAATACCTAGGAGTAACTATAGGGAGCGGCTATAGGGTTAAGCCTCAGACTAACCCAGCCGTGGGCAAACTACGGCCTGCGGGCCGGATGCGGCCCGTTTGAAATGAATAAAACTAAAAAAAAAAAAGACTGTACCCTTTTATGTAATGATGTTTACTTTGAATTTATATTAGTTCACACAAACACTCCATCCATGCTTTTGTTCCGGCCCTCCGGTCCAGTTTAAGAACCCATTGTGGCCCTCGAGTCAAAAGGTTTGCCCACCCCTGGACTAACCTGTTGGCAAAGCCACAAATAAGACCCAGCTTAGAGGACACAGCCCTCTTAGCATAATTAAGCTTGACCTTAGAATGCTCCCTAGATCCTTCTTAGGTAGCTAATGGGCTGTGGAAGGTGCAGCAAGTGCTGCCAAAACAAGTGAAACTCACAAGAACACTGTAACTATGGTGACCACTACCTTGTTTACCTCTGGCTATAAAATAAAGGCTCAGCTTGCCCTCTGGGTCTCTCTCTGTGGCCTCAGCCAGGCACGGGAGATCCACCTAGAGTCCTAGACCCAGCTTATTCTCTTTGTCTGTCTTTTTTTCAATCCTTTGCTGCCCCCCCTCAGGCTCACTGAACCCTTGGCCCGGCCCAGCACAAGTAACTTTAATTAAAATATGTGGAAGCCTAATTGCCGGGAGTTTATTACTGCTTCAATTTCATCAGTAGTTATCAGCCTATTCAGGTTTTCTGATTCTTCCCGATTGAGTTTTAGAAGGTTGTGTTTTTCTAGGAATATGTCCATTTTGTCCAGGTTGTCTCGTTTGTTGGACTAAAGTCATTCATAGTATTTGTTTATGATCCTTTGTATTTCTGTGGAGTCATTTGTTAATTCACCTCTTTTGTTTCTGATTTTGTTTGTTTGGTTTCTATTTGTTTCCTAGTTTGTTCATAAATCTTGTTTATCCTTTCAAAGAACCAGCTCTTGGTTTTATTGATCTTTTGTATTTTTTTTTCCTCTGTGTCATTTATTTCTGCTCTGATCTTTATTATTTCATTCCTTCTACTTATTCTGGGTTTTTCTTGTTCTCTTTAAGTTGTAGTGTTAGATAACTTATTACCAGTCTTTCTTGTTTTTTGAGGTATGCCTTTTAGTACTATGAACTTCCATCTCAGGACTGCTTTCACTGTGTCCCATAGATTTTGGATTGTTGTGTTTTCATTGTCATTTGTTTCCAGGATGTTTTTTTTTTTCTTCTTTGTTCTCTTTGGTAACCCATTCATTGTTTAATAGCATGCTATTAGCCTCCATATATTTGTTTTTGAGCATTTTTATTGTAGCTGATTTCTAATTTCATGCCATTGTGGTCTGAGAATATGCTTGATATGATTTCAATCTTCTTAAATTTGTAAAGACTTAGTGTGTGTCCTAACATGTGGTCTATCTTTGAAAATGTCCCATGTGCACTTGAGAAGAATGTATATTCTGTAGCTTTGGAGTGGAATGTTCTGAAGATGTCAATTAGTTCCAGAAAAGAGAATTTTTAATTTACTTTCCATTCTTCAAGGACTTCTAAAAGGAACTTAAAATCAATAGCTGGCTTACTGATGCCTATATCTTCAAATTTTATCTGCTAATCTACAAAAAACATTAGCAGTGATAATCCTATAGAGAGTTAAATTATAATGAATTATAAAATGAAAACCTTATTATAGAAGAAATTATTTATCAAATATTTTTACATACCTGGAAATGTTTCTGACCTGGTTCATTTATCATTCCATAAATGATAAAAGGTAAATGATTATAAACAAAATATTGGATAAAATTGAAGATGTAGATGAAAACTTCATTTGCTCTATTGAAAACATCATGTGGAAGAAAGGAAAAATTATGACTCACACTTTTACCTTCTTACAGCAATTCAACTTTCTGTGTTAGAAAACTTGCTCCAACAGGTAAACCCAATCTTCTCTTAAAGGATACTGCTAATTTACAATTCTTGCAGTGAAAGCTTTTTCTAAAAGATAAGGCAATTGAGACTTGCTATTTTTGTTTCAGAGGACCTGAAGGTCCATAGTGAAAGCCTGAGAATTAAACTCAAGTAGTTCATTCAGCCTTTTCTTGCTCAGCATTTAGAAATCTCTGGGTTCTGCAAATTAATCCAACAGTGCCTTTATCATTATGGTGATCCCTCAAATAAAAATTCCTAAAGCCGATTTTACTATCTTATGTTTGTGTAAATTTAGTACTGTATGCAATCACCTTGATTACTTCAGTCACATGCCATTTGGTTTCAGGAATGTTTGTAGAATAAAATTATGGGGAAATCTCTAGAGTACGAAATGGTCACAAAATCCATATTCTGGTATAGAGTAGTATTTCTTTGGTTAATTATGAGCTAACTAGAAAATTGTTTTTCCTTTAGTTTTCCCCCAGCTGCTGTTGTAAATCTTTCCAAATGAATTAATCCACTTTCCTTCCTCAGAACTGAATTTAGTCCAAAATCCAATTTTATCTTTATCTTAGTTTATCTACTGTCACATAGCATGATGAATCCTTTCTGAACTCCCTAATGTGGAAGGAAAAATTATGACTCACTTTTACCTTCTTACAGCAATTCAACTTTCTGTGTTAGAAAACTCGCTCCAACAGGTAAACCCAATCTTCTCTTCAAGGATACTGCTGATTTACAATTAGCAGTGTCTCTGAAATCATGCTCCTCTGTGACCACCAAGAGCACTTTGAATTCGTAATTTTTGTACATTACATCCCATTTTGCAAGTTCATCTTTCTGCCAGCCCTAAAGTGAGAGGCTGGGGCGAGCCCTCACCTACCCTCCACCAATCCTAGCAAGGTGCTCAACACACAGTAGGCACGAAGTAGTAAAAACGGTCCAGGATTTGATGCTATTCAAGCACTGCCATCGGATGGACAGGCTCTGGAGACTACAAGTCCCAGAGGCCCGTGCGGGGCTGGCCCTGGTTACCTGGGCCCCCCCGCTGTTTTTCCCGTAGTTCAGGACTCCAACCAGGCAAAATCCTGGAGAGCCCGACCGAGAAGGGTTGAGGGGCTTTGAGCCGCAGTACGACCTTCCCCTGGACAGACAGTGGACTTCTGCTTCGTCTGGGTAGCGCGGGCAGACGGGCCGTTTACCGCACAGTAGAAGGCACCAACCGCCCCGCACCGCTCCAGACGGGCACACCAAACGCCCGCCGCCCGTTTCGCGCTCACGCCCCGCGGCGGCCAA